CCTCAGAGGCTGAGGGGATCAGAGAAACCCCCCAACATTCAGATCCAAGAGGGGTCTGAAAATCCTGAGCTCTTCCTTGTGCCTTTCCAGCACTTCTGCTCTGGGAAGCAGATTGGGCAGAGATGGTGAAAACCAAACCTGCTGGGATGTGTGGGGAAGGAAACTGAAAAATGCTTTGGAAGCTGCAGGAAGGTTTGTTCAGGGGCCGGCTCTGGGTCTGGACAGAGGGTTGGGTCAATTTTTACTCTACTCAAACTGGTTCTCCGCTCCTCGGTTTCCACAGCTCTGTGATATGACCTCAAGTGGCCAAGGGCCATGTTCTGCTCTCAGATACAGCAGAGTAACTTCTGCTGATGGCAGAGTAACCAAGAGCGGAATTTGGCCCGAGCTGGCATGTGGCAGCGTTGCCCTGGGGAAGCCTACAGACGCGTTGGCTGGCTTGGCGTCATCTCTTTGCAACTCCCGCCCCTCGTTCCTGCCTCTTGAGAGCTTCTTTGCTTGCACTCACTTATTCCCCTCGCTGAAGTTCAGCAGCCCATTAAAATGGTTGACCTTGTCATCCTCTCCAGGTTCTCACATCTGGTTCTTGTTAAGGGATCCCAGGATGCAGCTCTCTGTCAGTTGCTCTCCCTACCTCCCACCCCTTTTGTGACCCAGGGAGGATTATGGGTGATTAGAAGACAGGCAGCAGAGCAAGTATAGACGGGGGAGGGATTGTTATAAATAGAAATACCATAAACTTATCAGCCTATCACTCGAAGTGAATTCTGGTTTTAATCTCTAAGACCCGTAAATACAGTGACTGGAAGGGGAAGGGTGCGGTTAACCCTTTCAGATAGCTGCAAAACACTGCAGTCCTCAGGCACGCATTTCACACAGGAAACGGGGAGCTGAGCAAATGTGAGGATTCCCGGATCCCTTCCGAGCGAGATGTGCCGAGCACAGGAGCATGCCGCAGGGTGGGGTGGCACAAGCAGGTGTTTGTGGCTTGCTGATCGGGTGCCTGGGAGTCTAGTGGGACGAGCAGAGATGAGCCACAAACCGAAAACACAAAGGAGGTGGGCGGGGTGCTGCTGGCTCTGTTCAGAGGCTGATTGAGTTGGGAAGTCTGGGGAAGGCAGAGAAAACCAGTCCAAACAGTGGGATTCCTGACATTCTCCCACGTACGGGGGGCCTCTGCTCTCCCAGCTCCTGACTCCTTCGGTGAGGAACGAATGCCATCCTGTCCTTCCCAAACAAGCTTTACCTGCGCGGCTCCCCACGCTTTCCCTCAGCCCCTTGCGAGGGAACTGGTGGGAGAGAGACTCCAAAGGAGCCTCCAGGGGTATTCCAGAGCATGGAGGGAGGCTTTGGGAAGGGTTATGGAGTAAAGGGAAGCAGGACCAATGATTATGGAGGGAAAGATGATTCTGGGGACAGAGCATGACCCACCTTAACATGGTGAGGGCTAGGGAGCCTCTTGACGTGTTTTTGCAGCAGGGGCCAGGTGTGACTGCAAAGGGTTATGAAAGGGTGGGCATCCCAGAAGGTTTTGGAACTGAAAGGCTCTTGAAATGGCTCTGGGATGAGTTAAATTCTGCTTTTAGTTACAATGTGTGGCACAAAGCAACTCCGCTGAGGTCAACAGAGTTACGGTGGGTTCACTGCACGGTGACCGAAGGCAGAATTTGACTCACTGAGTTTTGGAGACTCCGGGAGAGGCTGTAGGTCTTGTGATACAGCCTGTGGAGTAGTGGACGGTGAGGGACTCTGGAGCGGGTGATAGACTGTGGCACGCTTTGGGCAGGGCTCTGGATGGCGGGGGACTCTGGAGTGGGTTATGGAGCCTGGGTGCATTAGGCAGAGTTATGGATGGTGGCGGGTGCTGTCTGTTCGAGTTAGCACTTTTCTTTTGAACAAAGGAAATATGAGCTCATTGGCTGCTGGTCACTGCTGCCCTCTGCTCCATCTCCCTTTGATTGGGACTTCGAGATGAGTTCTGTTTCCTGTGGAGCCTTTGGGGTGTTCAGCTTCATGGGTCCATTTTCTGTGGCTTCCTACTCCCTCTTAATCCCCCGTTGCAAGGGGAGGAGGGGCATTGTTAATGTCGTTAGGAGCTCGTGACTCTAAAGAGAGGTATTAGCTTTTGATTAATCACCTAAGCTGGCTTTTGGTAACAGTCCCTACTGAACAGAAGTTTTCAGGCAATGAGATGCTCTTAAGAGCTCGTGCTCAGCTGCAGACATTCCAGAGATACTTTCTGCCCCACAGAGACAAACAGGGGTGCTCAGAGGACCAGAAGAAGGGTTGAAGACTCAGGGGAAGAGATTCTTAGTGGTGACCAGGACAGATCAGAAACAGTGGGAGATGGGGACCGCAAAGAACTGGGACAGCAGTCAGCCAGGGACAGGGAATGTCACCGCATGGAGCCCGGCTACTCTCAGTCCCTTTGCAGAAGGCACAAGGGCCTCCAGCCTCTTGTTGAGAAAAGTCCTTCATTGGATTTATTTTAAGTAGGTAAAGAACTGCCCCTCCCACCCCGCAAGCCGGTCCCCCCCATTGTGGCCGTTATCAATTCTGTTGTAGCTCCAGAGCAGTTCAGCTGACGCACCTTCCGTGCCAGGGTGCTTATCGCACCCTTTGCTTGGGTCTCGATTGAATTTTCGCGAAGGTGACCTTTCAGGCAAGGTGGCTAGGAGGGTGTGAGTTGAGAGAGCAGCCAGGCTGGGGAGGTTAGTCTGTGGAATGGCCACAGTCTATCCCCGAGGGATGTATGTGAGCCCGTGTCCACCAGGAATTCTGTCCATCCATGCAGAGCTTGTTAGAGCTTTGACCCTGGGACGGGGTCTTCTGAAACCAGCAACCTGGAGAGCTCTCCTCAGGGAAGCTTGGTAGCCTGTGGGAGAGGAGAGGGACTAGTGCACTGGCTCTTCACTTCTGGAGATCTGGATCGTGTGGCAAGTGACCTGGGCTCTCTGAGTGGTTCCCTGGTGGGCATATGTCCACATCAGCCCATGATGTAGCATGACTGAAAGTCTTTGCCCAAGAGAGAACTGGCACTGGAATAGTAGGGGAGCTGAGAGTCATGGCTTGAGAACATTAGCAAACCTTGGCTGGGCAGGGCTGGAATAGCTGGGGCGTGCCAGGTCAGGACTGAGGAGCATTAGCAAGCGTTGGGGGGCAGGGGTGCTGCTGGACAGGCCCAGAGCGGTGTGTGGGAGCACTCAGGGGTGGGGCATCGGGGGGGGGGGAGGGTTGCTGTTGGTCAGGTGGAGAAGCAGCAGCACAGCAGCTAGGGGAAGCATTCCATCACCTGCCTGCGCTGATCCTAGTCCAGCCGACGCTGTCAGTCCGAAGGGCACCTGAGCCAGACAACGTTCCAACCCGCATGATGCCCGTATCTAAGCGAGCTTCTCTGACGAGGAGGCAGATCCTCAGGCCATGGCTGGGGAGCCAGCCCGACGCTCTTGCACCCTACGGTCCTTCTCTCTGGGACCGTACAGTGGAAGTGTCTGTGCGTCTCGGCACCCCAAGTTGCACACTTGTCCTGCCCGTTGCTTTTCTGTGGGATCCCGGCCTGGACACTGGAGGGGCTGGGGACTCCAGGCTCTATTGAGGTGTGTGTTAAGCTGGATGCTTTCTTTCGTAGCAGTGAGCCACCCTTCCCCGTGACCTGCTGTTGAGGTGCGTGGTACACAAAGGGTTAGGTGTTTTACAATGGAATCCCGACCCAGGCTTTTCTCTCCGGCCTGGGTTACCAAGGAAAAGATTCCCCCACCCCACCCCCGTTCGCTTGGCAAAATTCCTAGCTGGATTTATTTCTGCCGATTTGCTTGTCTTGGTATGAAAGGGATTTTCACAGGGGAAAGATCTGATTGGCTGGACGCTGGCTGAAGCCCCTCTTTTTCACGTTTGCGGTTCATTGGCTAACCTTTCCCCACAGTGTGGCTTGGAGGGGGCGGTGGTCCTTTGATGGTGTGTGTGTGCGCATCTGCTGGGCAAGTGATACATCGCCTCTGGCTGAAGGGATCGGGCCGTTGTGGAAGGGCCGTCTTTGTTAGCCAAGCTCTGGGGACGGGGCTGGGGCTGCTCTTCCCCTTTCTTGGCAGTGTCTTTGGCACTCGGGGTTGGCATAGGCCCCAGCAGGCTGCACACTCCTACTCCAGTGAGGCAGATAAAGAAAGCACTTTCTCTCGACGAACCCCAGCCTGGCTTCCACAGCACGGGAGGAGGAGGAGGAGGGACCTGTAGGAGAAAGGGGAAGAAAGTCTAGTGCTGCCCTCGCAGGAGTGGGAGGCGGGTGCATGCGGGGAGCTGAGATCTGTTCCAAAGCTGGCAGCAGCATGAGCGATTTCAGCATGTTCTGCGAAACCAAGGCAAGGGTCCAACGGGGAGGGAATGAAACCAGACTCCCGAATCCACCCACAGAGCCCACACAGTGCGGCCCTGCCGCTGGGCACTAGCCATGGGCTCCTGAGGCCTCAGGCCTAGCCACGGGCTCCTGCAGCCCACAGCAAGCAGCTTTTCCGCCAGGGCAGGTGGCCCAATCAAAGCCAGTGGCTCCTGCAGCTCACGCTAACAAGGCCTATGCTACTGCCAGGCGCTGTCATCCACATTTCTCAGGAGGCTCTGTGCAGTGGAGTCCAACAGCCCAAGCAACCAGGCCCAGCCCAGCGGGGCTCTGCAGTCGGCACAATTTACCATCGAGTACTCCCTGTGTCCCGCAGACTTTCTAATAACTGCCTTGTCAGCACTCGCACTGTTGCCCCCATGGCGTCCCAGCTCATGGGTTGGCAGGGGTGCGGGTGGACACTGAGGTGGTCTCTCTAAAAGAGCATGATCTGATTGCGCAAGGATCAGTGGCTCTGGCCCTCAGCTCAGTCCCTTTATCCTCCTGTGGTGGAGGGGCCTGGGGCTGTAGGGGGAGCTGTAAGTTGCTCTCTGATCTCTCAGGGAAGGGGGCCTGACTTGTCTGGTTTTCTAATGGCTCTCGCCCCTTCCATTCCTTCTCTTTTCTGCAGGCCACGACATTAATGGAGCTCTGGAACCTTCCAACATCGACACCAGCATTCTGGAAGAGTACATCAGCAAGGAAGACTCACCAGATATGCAAGTCCCTGCCTCGCGCGCGGCCCGGTGGTGGGGGGCTGCCAGCGGGGACAGAGCTAGTGACTGTTTTCCCAGGGAGAAGTTGAATTTTCTCCTTTCCAGGGGTGCAATGCCTTGTTTGTAAATAGCTTCCCTGCCCCCTTTTACCCCTGCTCTCTGCCTCTGTCAGAGCTCCCATCTGTCGCTCTGTGCTACCATCGTCATTTTCAATCCCTCCTCTGTTCTCCAAACCCCTTTCTAGTTTCCTTCCTCCCAGGTAGGATCAGTGAAGAATCCTTTAATTCCCGTCCTTGGCGCACCCCCTGCTACCTTTGGACAGGACTAAAAATGGCACAGAGGAACATCAAATGAATGCATTTTGGCCCACGCTCCCCTGTGCTGCTAGGAATAGCTACTAGGGCATCATGCTGGGAGCGAAATGCACTGGCATTCTGGGGAGAGAGAGCCCCAGGAATGAGTGTGTGCGGAAGAGAAATGTCTCCCTGGGACCAGCAGTGGACCTGGCTCTCCACACCACGCTGGGGTGCACTGACTTCACCGGGGAGAAGACGGGCACTCACCACAGGCGGGAGGCTGTAGTCCCTGTTGGTGCTGGCAGTGGGGCACTGACCTGTTGGGACGGGAGGTGCTGTCCTGTTCCCAGCAGGTGTTTGTTACACTGGTCTGAGTGGAGCCTCTCAGCACATCTGGCAAAGTAAGCAGGGTTGGGTTTGGTCAGTCTTTGCCTGGGAGCCCTCAGAGGAAGACCTGAGTGGTGTAATGGGGCCTGAATCAATGCCACAGCATGGGGCAAACGGGAAGTGAGCTGCTGGAGTGGCCACTTTCCCCAGGAGTCGAAGAACTGAGGTAATGGGCAGTTCTAGCCTTTAAAGATCCATGAGCAACATTAGGTTAGTATCCTCCTTCCTGGGAGATTACATTCCGCCTCCCTCCATTCCCCCGCCAGTAGCAGCTAGATACTCACCCTCCTTCCGCTCCCCGCCTGAGCCCCGGGGTGTAGTTTTGCTGGTGCCGTCGGGTTGCGGTGCCTCCTTCCCAGTGGTGGGTGTGTGGGTGGGGGCAGAAGGGCTGCGTGGCCGGCGAAAGGTGCAATACATATACACTGCTGAGGTTCTCAACTTCTCTCCCACAGCTGCTTCCCGGACATCCCTGCCTCAGCCAGCTACGCACACACCCAGCCTTCTGGCTCTGCCTCTGTCAGCGCTCCTGTTGCCAGCTCCATCTCCAGTGTCGCTCATGTGACCAACCCAGCTTCCAGTGGTGCCCTCCATCTCTGTCCCCCAGGCAGCCAAGGCCCGGTCCGTCATGGTCCTCTTTTGGCCAACCCCTGTGGACCCAGCTACAGTGCTCACCTCAACTGCAATAACAACAATGGCATGGTGGTGCCCAAGGGGTACCTCAGCAGCCACTGCCTGAATAACGTGGTCCCTCCAATCAAATCGGAGCCCAAGGCCTCCTATGCACCCGGGTAAGTGTGGCTGAAGCAGGGAGGAGGAGTGAAAAGTGTTTCTTCACCTGGAGGTGATTATGCATTAGGAACTCTGAGGCCTGCTGTGTTTGTCCCACAAACCTTCGGGTGCCTAAACATTGATTCAGGTGCTTAGTTATTGGTGCTGGAGTTTGAGAGCGTTGGCTGTGGCCTTCGTGCCAGTGACGTGCATTGAGCTAGGTGGAATAGTAACGTCCCATATGAGAGCAGATGGCATTAAAGCCAGGGCCAGCGGGGGCCAAAGAGATTCATGGAACACAGAGCAGAAGGCTCTGTGAGTGAATGATGGGAAAATCTTTTAGTATCTCAGGCAGGAACAGAGGCATATTTGGAATCCATTCCAGATTGAGAAAATCCTCCCTGGGGCTATCCCAGGTGAAAGGTGGTAGCTAACTCAGACAAAAAGATATGGAGTCTGGTGTCCCAAATACCTTGGGCTGGTATTTGATATCACTCTGTGTAGGAAGGAGATAGACCCTGGGCTGAATTTGCACCCACTTGCAGTGGACTCTAGGCTCACCCCCTGCAAAGAGTGGGAGGACTGAGTTTCTGTATCTCTGGTGGACTGAACATGTAGCCCCAGGAGGAGAAAGTGCACCCAGGGAGATGCTGCTATTCCTGCTCTCTGGGCAGGTGTCTACCTCAGTGGGCAGAGATGGGCCTGCCATGGCAGGCTGGGATCAGAGGGAACCGTGGCAATGCCAGGCCAGCGATTGCTCTGCTGGGTGAGCAGGAGCGTGCAGCCATTGATAGAGAGAGGACTGCTGTGCCATGCTGGGCGGGAACGGGGCCGAGACTGTCTTGGTGGCCAGGGTGGGGATTGCCCCAGAGAGTGAGACATAGATGGAGACAATTCTCTCCGTGAGTAGAATGTGCCATAGCTCCCAGAGGTGAGAGAAATAGCTCCCCACACACGCTAGTTCATACATTTCATTCCTGGTAGCTGTTAGTCCCTAGCCCCCTGCTGGGAGGAGCACCCCAGCTTCTCCATTCCCCTGACTCTTTCAAGGGTGCTGCTGGGGAGATCCTTTCCTCACTGCTCGCAGAGGAAGACTCCAGAGGAGTCAGTCAGACGGCGATGGAAATCAATAGCGCCACATCCCTCTCTCAGCGTGGCCACCCAGCATGACCTGCGCCAGTGACTGACCCATCCTGGAGTCTCCCACCCCTCCACCTAGCACCTCTGTCTCATGTGGCGCATAGCCTCGCTGTGTTACATTTGCAGCCATCTCCTTCCTCTTTGGAATCGGTGGGTGTCGGGTGCGGAGGCCCAGGCCAGGATGGAGTCCAGGTTATGTGCATGTCTGTGAATCTCATGTTCTCCTCTGCCTCGCGCCATCTAGTGATGCCAATAAGGAGAACATCATCATGATTCCAGGAGTTGGGAAGGCTCTGAATTCACGGGGCCAAATTCAACCTTGATGTAATTCCACTGAGGCCATTGGGTTGGATTTGGCCCATTGGAGGCGCTTGGAAAGATCCTCATGAATGAGGCGGGGTAGAGAAAATCCCCGATTGTGTCCATTGCCCTTGGATTCCCAGTCTGGGGGAGGACACGGAGTTTTCCCATGAGGCAAACAGCCGGACAGGGGCCATTCCTAGGGGCTCTCAGTCATGTTAGGGGCCATCCTGCAGGAGGCTTCCAGTTGTTTAGTCTAGTAAGGACCCGTTCTGTCCTTGCCCTCGGCTGAGATGGCCAACTAGGCTCATAGAGCCAACAGTGGCCATGGCTTGTGCAATGGGGATACCTGCCCTCCAGGGGCTGGGACTCCAGCCCATTGAATGGCAGTTGGAGGGTGACGACTTTGGGTCCCTAATAACCTCGGCTTTGGTCACACTGGAGGCTTGAGAGTCTTTCTCCCAGTCCCCGAGTTGGGGCCCCAGTGGAGTCAGTGTCCTAGAGGTGAAGGGCTCCGTACCCTACCCAGTCCCCCTGCCTTGGTGGGATCGTTGTGACAAAAGGCACAAGGAAGTAGCTGAATTGGGTCCTGAGATGACTTTGCAACAACTCTGGTTTGGTTTCCGTTATCTCATTGCAATATTCTCGCCCTTCCCCCCACCCCAAAGGCACATTAGGCTTGGTCTGGACCTAGCTGTGTCCATCACGGGTGTGAAAAATCCACACCCTGGAGCATTGGAGCTACGCTGACGTAACCCTCGGCGTGGATGCAGGGAAGAATGCGTCTGTTGAGGTGGCGACCGTAGTTCTGGGAAGCGGTGTTCCTATAGTGACAGAAAAATCCCGTCCATCACTACACTATGGGGTTATGCTGGTGTTAGTCCCTGTAGTGTCAACATACCCTGAGCCCGCTCGTGTCTGCTCCCCCCACCCAAGCCTGCATATCGGCACCTGGGCCGTTAAGATCAGCTGGGACTCTGGAGCTAGATTTGTTTATCCAGGGGCAGGACGTTCTCTGGAACTTACTCCTGATGGAGACCAAGTCTTTTGACCTGTCGGGCACGCTACATGGCATGTCTGTTTTCCCAGGCTGTCTCTGAGGGTAACTGGGGAGGAGCCGTTTAGCTTTTCATGAAGGGCTGGGAGTCCTGGAAAGCTGAAGTTGGATCAAACTGGATTTTTCGGTGTGTGGTTTTTAAATGACTGACGTGTCCGTGTGCAGGGAGCCTGTGTTTAGCCTCATGGTACAAGGCAAAATAAATAGAGGATAACTCAACAGATCACTCCCCTGCTGCCCACCTGCCCCATAGAACACAGGAAGTTCCTTGTCAATCCTTTTATCCTTGGACATGGTGCGTTTGGTGAGGCCAATAGAGTTTCCTATTCATATTTGGTTCCCTTTTGCAGAGTTAGGGCCAGATTCTGCTCTTGGTGCCGCTGGTGTAAATCCAGAGGAACTCCATTGACCTCTGTGGGTGCTGCTCCGGATTTCCCCAGGTGTGAGTGAAAGCTGAATCTGGCCTTCAGCCTCACAGCCTTCGCTTTCATGCATCAGATCCCGGAACAGAGCCAGGCTCCCCTAGTTATTCAGGGTGAAACCAATGATCTTTTTCTGGGGAACAGATACATTTCTGTTTGGCTTCTTTTAACTGGCCATGAGCTGCAAAGAGAAGACTCTGATTAGCAGGTGAACAAAATGGCTGTGAAATGAAATGCCTATACATACAATCAAAGGAGGTACTGTGCAGGGGTGCTGACAGCTGCTGCAGTGCCAGCCTCTTCCAGTAGGAGGCACTGTAGCAAATGTTCTCAGGCCCTGGCTGTCGAGGAGTTCTGGGCCCAGCAAGAGATGCAGCAGGGAACGGTGCAGAGGCTCTGGCTGTGCAAGGCTTTCAGCTACTCCAGTCCCAGCCTGAGGCGATGTAGGTAATGGTGTGTGGAGGGGCTAGCTGGGAGCTGTGGCTGTAGGGAGCCAGGGCAGAAGAGCTGACTGCAGGGCAGCTCACGGCTATTTCAGTCCCAGTTTCTGCTGGTAGTAGGGAGTGCTGTAAGGATGGGGCAGGAGAGCTGGGTGTGGGCTCTGGTGCCAGCCTCTGCCAGCAGGAGTGTCTGTGGGCAGTGGGGTTAGCCGTGATGCCGTTTGAATGGGTTTTATCCTGGAGTGTGGAAGTCACAGTGAGCAAACTGAAAGGCTTGGTTTTGCTGGAAGCTGGTTTGCAGTGACCTTCTCTTCTCTTTCTCCATTGCTCTCCAGCACTTTACCCGACTCTCCCCCGGACTCTGGATCAGAAGCCTACTCCCCCCAGCAGGTGAATGGTAAGTGCTTAAAAAAAAAAAAAAAAGCCCAAACCTCCCAGCCTCCCCCCCTCTTTGTTTTATGAAAGTGGTTGGCTCTGAAATCTTTATCAGACGGGAAAAACAGACGGCTGCAATACGTGGAGAGATTATCAGTTAGTAAATATTCCTAGACTTTCACCTATTGTTCTCCGGCTAGTCTTTGAAAGGGGGGGAGTGAGAGGGAATGGGAGAGGGGGAGGAAGTGCGGATCCACACACACACAGCGCGGAAGAGAGAGCCTCGTACCCAGGCAGGGTGTGAAATGGAGTCTGCGAGCCTCCGTTTGCTGGTGTCCATGGTGGGGGTGTAAAACAGAGCCAGGGTGCGCGCGCCTCCTGGAAATGAAGCCCAACTTGTGGAGACACTAATGAACTCGCTGTTTAGAGGTAAGTTCTTGCTGAGCCTTTTCCTGCCGTCCAAGGAACCCCTCTGGTCCAAGGGGGGCACCTGTCTGCTTCCCTTCTGCATAGGGCGGGGGGAACTCGGGGCCCCTCCCAGAGATGATTGTTTTTCCCCGGAAGGCGGGGTCAGGGCCATTCTGCCCCACTTGGCTTGGTGCGGGCTGAGGGAAGTGGGTGGATGTTGTTTGGTCCCAATGGCGACGCTCCCCATGCCTCGATGGCAGCACTGGCCGGGTGGGTGAGACGGTGGGAGGGGAAGGGAGCATGCCAGCTTCCCCACCTCCCCACAGTTGCACTCTTTTTCCAGGCTCCAACCCAGTCCATGCTGGGAACGGCTCCTTCTCTTTTCTCTATGGAAGAGGTCAAGAGTTCTGTTTATCTTACTAAAAAAATCCCTGGAATTCCTCCTGGCCCTTCCTTAAATATAACAAAGAGGCCGGGCTACTCACCGCAGGGAGGGCAGATTTCCCTCACTGCCAGAGCAGCAGCACCTTCGCCTCAAGAGAACAGAAGAAGAGGCGGCTACGGAGAACCCGTCTCGATAGGCTCGCTTTTTGTAAGAGAGGAATCAAACCCTTCAACCTCGTTTTGCCCTGGATTTGGCAGAGGCTGGGTCCTCAGTGAGACTATGGGGGCTGGTTTTGGTGCATGTTTCAGTAATTGACTTGGCCTCTTCCCCTGCTACGAGGTTAGAAGCATTTGAAAAACAGAGAGAACTGTTCCCTTGAGACGCAGAAGATAACATAAGGGCTGCCATACTGGATCACGCCAGATTCCATCTTCCCCAGTGTCCTGTCTCTGACCGTGGCCCATACCAGAGCTTCACGGAGATACAGAAGAGGGTAGTGATCCACCCCTGTCTTACACTCCCAGCTTCTGTTAGTCAGAGGCTTAGGGTTGCCTTGAGCATGGGGTTGTATCTCTCACCATTTCGGCTAATAGCCATTGGTGGTCTTATCCTCCATGAATTTATATAGTTCTTTTTTGAACCAGTTATACTTTTGGCTATCACAACATCCACTGGCAACAAATTCCACAAGCTTGTTGTGGGTCATGTGGAAAAAGTACTTCCTCTTGTTTGCGTTAAACCTGCTGCCTGTTAATTTCATTGGGTGACCCCTAGTTTTTGTATTGTGTGAAAGAGTAAATAACACTTCTCTGTTCATTTTTTCCACACCATTCATGATTTTACAGACCTCTATTGTATCCCCCTCAGTCATCTCTTTTCTAAGATGAACAGCCCTAATTCTTTTTAGTCTCTCTTCATATGGAAGCTGTTCCATACCCTTGATAATCTTTGTTGACCTTTTCAGAACCTTTTCCAGAACCAGAACTGGACACAGTATTTAAGGTGTGGACACACCGTGGATTTATATCGTGGTATTTTCTTTTTTATTTTCTATCCCTTTCCTAAAGGTTCCTAACATATTGTTAGGGGTTTTTCACTACTGTTGAGCAATGAGCAGAAGTTTTCAGAGAAATATCCATGGTGACTCCAAGATCTTTTTCTTGGGTGGTAACAACTAATTTAGAATCCATATATAGTTGGGATTATGTTTTTCCAGTGTGCGTTATTTTGCACTTATCAACACTGAATTTCATTTGCCATTTTATTGCCCAGTCACCCAGTTTTGTGAGATCCCTTTGTAACTCTTTTAGTCAGCTTTGGACTTAACTATCTTGAATAATTTTGTGTTGTCTCCATATTTTGCCACTTCACTGTTCACATCCCTTTCCAGATCTTAATGAATATGTTGAACAGCACGATCCTCAGTACAGGTCCTTGGGAGACCCTGCTGTTCACCTCTCTTCATTGTGAAAACTGACTATTCCTATCCTTTGTTTCCTATCTTTCAACCAGTTACTGATCCATAAAAGGACTTTCCCTCTTATCCCCTGGCTGCTTAGTTTCCTTAAGAGCCTTTGGTGAGGAACCTTGTCAAGAGCTTTCTGAAAATCCAAGTACACTATATCCACTGGATCTCCTTTCTCCATGTGTTTGTTTACACCCTCAAAGGATTCTAATAGATTGGTGAGGCATGATTTCCCTTTACAAAATTTGTGTTGACTTTTCCCCAACTTGTTGTATTCACCTGTGTGTTTGATAATTCTGTTCTTTAATATCGTTTCAACCAATTTACCCAGTACTGAAGTTACGCTCACTGGCCCGTAATTGCAGGGATCCCCTCTGGAGCCTTTTTAAAAAATTGACATTACATTAGCTATTTTCTAGGCATCTGAGATAGAGGCTGATTTCAGTGTAGAATGTAGGTTATATACGACAGTTCTGCAATTTCATATTTGAGACCCTTCAGAATTCTGAGGTGAATACCATTTGTTTAATTTATCAATTAATTAATGTTTAATTTATCAATTTGTTCTAAAATCTCTTCTACTGACGTATCAATTTGGGACAGCACTTCAGATTTGCTACCCACATCACAGCTATTCTTTTTGGGAATCTCCCCCACCACATCCTCTCCAGTGAAGACTGGTGCAAAGAATTCATTTATCTTCTCAGAGTGCTCCTTTAACACCTTTGTCATCTAGTGGCCCCACTGGCAGGCTTCCTGCTTCGGGTGTACTTAACACAAATGTTATTGTTAGTTTTTGCATCTTCAGCAAGTTGCTTCTCAAATCCTTTCTTGGTCTGCTGTATTATACTTTTACATTTTACTTGCCAGCATTTGTGCTCCTTCCTATTTTTCTCGTTAGGATTTGACTTGCAAATCTTAAAAGAACCTTTTTGTCTGTAAATGCCATCATTACTCTTCTGTTCAGCCATGATGGGATTCTTTTGGTCCTCCTAATGTCCATTTTTAAAATTTGGGAGTAGACTTTTAATCTGAGCCTCTATTATGGTATTTTTAAGTAGCCTACGTGCTGCTTGCAGGCATTCTACCCTTGTGACTGCCCTTTTTAATTTCCATCTAACTAGTGTCACCAGTCTTGTATAGTTCCCCATCTAAAGTTAAATGTGACTGGGGTGGGGCTTTTTTATGTTTTCCCCCCCTACAAGGAGGTTAAATTTAATTCACTGCGGTCACTATTACCAAGCGGTTCAGTTATATTCACCTTTTGGACCAGAGCCTGTGCTCCACTTAGGACTAAATCAAGAACTCTTGTGGGTTCCAGGACTAACAGCTCCACAATAGAGCCCAGAGGTTCTGCTCTCCTGGGATATGGCTGGAATAGCACATACACCATATCTGGCTCCATATTCCCCCTCCGATGCTTTGTCAGTGGTGTGATTTACCCCCGTTAGTGCCACACTGCCAGCGTCAGACCTTCTGACTTAACCACACCACAAAGACCGGAGTGGTTCCAATGGGCTATCTCAATAGCTATCAAGCTGTGCTCCTCAGAGCACTTCCAGGGGGGTTATGGAGCTTCTCTCACAATCGGGAAACATCTCCTTGTCTCCAAGTGTTGATCCAGCCCAGGACTCTTCTGGGGTTTCCAGAGGCTTTGTCAGTTAACTGGACTGAAAAACACCTAGCCCGTCCCTGCACTGCTGGGCCATGCTGTTCTTTGTCAGGGGTTTCATTGGTGTAAATTCAGTAACTATGGGCATCAAAATTGGAGGGGGAGAGGCGCAAGCTGCAGAGTGACCTGGCAGGATTGGAACCAGGTGCGGGTAGGTGTGGGGAAGGCAGCAAGGGGAGATTCAGAACTAGTCAGTGTAAAGCCCTGCACCCCAGTAGAGGCAGTAAACAGCGCAGATACACTGTGTAATGGGATGTAACCAGTCACCTCACCCATCACATGGAAGTGAATTCAGTGTCCTTTGTCCCTTCACTCCTGCCTACTGTCCCTTTTCCTTGCATCCTAGCCCTGTGGCTTTGGGACATGGGCAACCAGGAGCCTGGTCCCCCATTGGAGCTCGATTTTTAGGAAGTGACCAAAATATGGGAAAGTTTGTGACCCTCTGATCGTCCGAAGGACATTTCTAATCATCCTCTTTTTCTTCCTCCCCTCTGGGGCAGTGACAGGGAAATGGGCCATGCTCAGACACCCCTCTGATGCAGCCACAAGGTAACATCTTGGTTTATAACAATACAAGTCCCTCCAGTGCTGCTGCAGAGACCCCTTGTGCGCAGCCTCCGTGGAACACACTGATATCACATGCGTAGAAAATCTTGTGCTGATACGAAAACCTGTCTGAAGGAAAAGGGTCCGGTTTGGTGACACACAAGCCTCCCCTCTCCCTAGGCTCTCTCTCCATGGAAGGGTGCTGGGCAGCTCAGTTAATTTTGCCAGACCTCCCTGATTCCTATTAAAAAAGTTTTGGACTCGTCAGGCAATGCCATGCAAAGGGCCTGACCAGTTCCCAGGCCTGGTCTCTCCCCATTGCAAGTTGCCTGGACTTTGCTCCATTCTGCCACCAGGGAGCCCTCTGGTGCTCAAGCCTCATTTCCCCCTAATGTTAGGAGTTGAGAGGTGCTTGGACCTCATCTGGCCCCTAGCCAGAAGTGGCCTCTCTAGCTCTTGTGAGCAATCTCCATTCCCTTCTCAGGTGCCCGGTGGCAGCATGGAGATGTGGAGGGGCAGTGCTGCAGGGAGGGGAGGGGGGCATGT